ACACACATACATACATACATACATACACACAGACACACATATACACAGACACACACGTACATACACACACACGTACATACACACATATACAGATACACAGACACACATGTACATACACACAGACACACATACACACAGACACACATATATACAGACACACACGTACATACACACAAACACACATATACACACACAGACACACATATACACAGACACACACATACATACAGACACACATACACAGACACACAGACACACATATACACAGACACACACATACATACACACAGACACACATACATACATACATACATACATACATACACACAGACACACATACGCACAGACACACATACACACAGACACACATATACACAGACACACGCGTACATACACACAGACACACACGTACATACACACATACACAGATACACAGACACACATGTACATACACACAGACACACATACACACAGACACACATATATACAGACACACACGTACATACACACAAACACACATATACACAGACACACACATACATACAGACACACATACACACACAGACACACATATACACAGACACAGAGACACACATATACACAGACACACACATACATACACACAGACACACATATACACAGACACATATACAGACACACACATACATACAGACACATATACACAGACACAGAGACACACATATACACAGACACACACACACAGACACACAGTAAAAACACACACATATACACACACAGATACACACACATAGACACACATACACACACATATACACAGACACACATAGACACAGACACACACGTACATACACACAGACACATATATAAACAGACACATATACAGACACACACATACATACACACAGACACACATATACACAGACACATATACATACACACACATATACACAGACACACATAGACACATACACACAGACACACACGTACACACACACAGACACACACATACATACAGACACACAGACACACACATACATACACACAGACACACATATACACAGACACATATACAGACACACACATACACACAGACACACATACACACACATATACACAGACACACATAGACACACACACACGTACATACACACAGACACACACATACATACAGACACACAGACACACACATACATACAGACACATATACAGACACACACATACATACAGACACATATACAGACACACACATACATACAGACACATATACAGACACACACATACATACAGACACATATACAGACACACACATACATACAGACACATATACAGACACACACATACATACAGACACATATACAGACACACACATACATACAGACACATATACAGACACACACATACATACAGACACATATACAGACACACACATACACACACACACACAGACTGACAGGGAAAATGCTCAGTCAGACTTCCCTAGACAGGACTACGACACCAAAGCCCCACAGCCTTGGCTGTGTTGGGGTTCGAATGGTGGTTTCGAGTTACTCCAGTATCAGTTAGGGATTCAGTTTACAAGGCCCATGTTAACTAGTGGGTTGGGGAGGGACAGGGAGAGAAACAGGAACTCAGAGGAAATGGTCACGTTTTTAGGGACGAAGCAGCACCGTTGACTTTGTGTGCTGCTTTCCAAAGAATTTTATGGAGGGGGAGGGGATAGTTTTAGGCTTTTAAGCAAAATTATCATTTAATTTAAAAATTTATTGAATTTTTGTGTATTTTATACAGTACATCTTAATCAACTTTTTACCTCCTTCCCCATTGGCCCCTCTTGTAGCTGCCCCCCCCCCCCAGTTAATAAATTCTGTCATTTATGTTAAGGCCTATCATGTAAAGTTAGTGTCCCCAGATGTCTCCTAGTGCAAGTTCCTCCACTGAGGTCTGGTCAGCCTATCTCGAGTCCCTCCCTTTAAGATCAGCTCTTCCTCACCCTGCAGTGATCAGCTGCCAATGATTCTTGGACGAAGATTGGGGCCTGCTGTCCGTTTCCCCAGTTCTCTGCTGGGTTTTTGTCTGCTTGGTCTGCCCGGGTCTCGTGCCTGCTGACACCTTTGCTATAGGCTCGTATGAGAAGAGTCCCAGGAGCCTGTAGGACTATTTCCATATGGTCATGTACCTCCTCCCTGGCTCTTACAATCTTTCCGCCCCTCTTCTGCAGTGGTCCCGGAGCCCTGGGTGGGTGGACCTCAGTATAGGAGCCCTGTCAGGGCCCCACACTCTGCCAACTCTTGTTCTCTGTGTTCCCGGCCCTCTGTTGCATGAGGAGCTTCACTGATGAGAACTGAAAGATGCCTTAGAGTTCTCTTCATCCCTTGTTCTATGTTCCTTGAGTCTTGAGTGCAGAGGTTGCATCCTAGATGTGCCACTTAGGCTTGGGAAATTCACAGGCAATGTCTGTGTGTGACCAGTTGTGGAACTCTGTAATAATCTCTGTCTGTTGAAAAAGAAACTTCTTCGATGGGTGGTGACCTGGATACTTGTCTTACATAGTAAGAAATCACGTTTGTTTAGGGATGTGACAGCCTTAGGGTTTTCTCTAAGATCTATGACCGCTCCAGCTATAAGTATTGACTAGGTTTACAGTACCACACTCGAGTTTCCTCTCATTCAGTAGACTTTAAGTCCAATTAAGTAGCTGTTGATTACCCCCAAGATAAAGTGCCACTACTGCACCAATGTCACTTGTTGTGATGGTCACTGATGTGGCTTTTAGGCCTTGAAGCTGGGGTTGGGCCATCAGTTGATGTTCTCCCTTACCAGCTTGCACAGGGCTCTCCAAAACTAGGAGAGGTAGCCTTCAGGGGAGGTGACTTCCAGGTCAGTTCCAGCTCCATTGCTCCAAATCCTGTGTCCAAAGTATGTCCTGTCTTTAGCAACAGGGTCTTACCTTCAAGTTCTGAGAGGCATCAAGGGCTGTGGCAATAACCTGTGTAAATTTGGGAGTCTCCTGGACCACCCTGGCCGACAAAGGAAGGTTTCTCCTGCCTGGCACTGTTTCCTGTTATGTAGCCTTCAGCTGTACACACGCACTCATGTAGGGATATTGTATGTGTAATTTTTCAGTGGGTTTTGGACTAATAATATGATTCCCTCTGATTTTTTTTATACTAGTGAGGCATTATTTATCTCTCCCCTCTCTCTTTCCCTGTCTAACCTGCCCTCTACGCCCTCCCCATTTAAAGTATCCCCATCTTCCCCATTTCTCCCTTGATAATTCCTATCTACTATGGTCCACCTCTCTTGAATGCCTTCTTCCCCTTTATCCCCACATCGTTTCTTGTATAGCCTTCCCTCCCCTATTTACCCCCATTTTACCTATTTCCCCTTAGTGGCACCTGCCTCCTACTGTTCTTCTCTCCCAGGTTCTTTCTTCCCCTTTGCCTCCCTGGTTACTTTCCGTTTTCCTGGTTCCTACCTTACATCAGGATATATATGCACAGATAAGGATTTGGTGCTCGGATCCACATATGAGGGAGAACATATATCGTTTGTTTTTCTAAGTCTGTGTTACTTCACTTAGTATACCAGTTTCTAGTTCCATCCATTTACCTGCAGATTTCATGATTTTGTCCTTCTTTACTGCTGAGTAGTTTTTGTATCTCACCTGCTTTCAGTATCACAGCACGTAGTTTTACATCATAAATTTTTTGTAATTACAAGGGCTTTCTAATGGTTTTGAGGCTTAATCAGACGTAGACCTCTCTGGCTTCTTCCTTGCTGAACAGGGACACAGGGTGAGGCAATTGGAGTACCCCTTCAGTGGGTCTATGGAAAAGACTCCCAAATTGCATAACTCTTATCTCTAAGGGAATGAGCACAACCATCAAGAAGCCCAATTGTAATGATGTTTAGCAATCAGGCTCAGTTGGTAGATATTTCATGCAGAAGAGACGGCTGTATAGCATCATCTTAGTAAAAGGACCTAGAATTTAAAAGGATTTGGTGTAGGATCCACATATGAGGGAGAACATATATCGTTTGTTTTTCTAAGTCTGTGTTACTTCACTTAGTATACCAGTTTCTAGTTCCATCCATTTACCTGCAGATTTCATGATTTTGTCCTTCTTTACTGCTGAGTAGTTTTTGTATCTCACCTGCTTTCTACGTCACAGCACGTAGTTTTACATCATAAATTTTTTGTAATTACAAGGGCTTTCTAATGGTTTTGAGGCTTTAAGGATATATTATTATTTAACATTATTTTTGAAAATATGGATGTGTTGACGCCCCTGTTCTTATAAACACTGTTATCATAACCTTCTTGAGGCCTTAAAGGGGAACAAAAGTACCTTAGGCATTGAGCTGGATCCTCTAGGAAAGAATGCTGTCACTGGCCTGAAGGAATTTACAGTCCAGCAACAGTCCTAGGTTAGTTCCAAATTCTTTTGTCCTTTTAGATTAGGATATAGACACAGATGTAGATGTCTGTCTTTATACATATATGTATATATGCTGTTACCCTCAAGAGTCTTATAAAAGGCAGGTAGATACATATATTATAACTGATACACAATACATACGTAGATTGACCGAGGCAGAAAATGAATTATTAATCATAGTGTGAGGCATGGTGCAGGGCGAGCTCCCTGGTGCTCCCGGTGTCCGTCCCACTGCTGTAAGCAGGGATGACTCAACACTGTCTTCCTCTTCCAGATCGATGACCCGGACAGCAGTCTGGAGGAGATGATTGAAGAGGCTGATGCCGTCGCCTCCATAAGCAGTTTGGGAAGCAAGCAAGCCCTGAACGCGGATTACCTTGACTCTGACTATGAAAGCGGACAGCTGTTCCCGTTCTCCCTTAGCAGTGACCTCCAGACAACCATATTCCCACTGACAAATTCAGTCCCGATGACCCAGTCCTTCCGCAAACGGTGGCACATGAATCTCAACAGCCTCATGGACCGAGCCTTGATCCCACACTGTGGCAATGGGGAAGACCTGTTTATCATCACGGGGGCTGTCCCCTCAGACAGCAGGATAAAGGACAGAGTGACTGTCCCTGAGTTTGTCTGGCTGGCAGCCTGTTGTGCTGTCCCTGGAGGAGGCTGGGCCATGGGCTTTGTTAAGCACACCCAGGGCAATGACATCATAGAAGACGTGATGGTAAGAGACCTGGAGAAACTGCTTCCGTCAAAACCTCAGCTGTTCCGGGACAACTGCGGTGAGGCTGAGCAAGACACGGAGAAGATGAAAAAGATCCTGGAAGTGGTCAACCAGGTCCAGGATGAGGAGAGATCGGTGCAGTCTCAAAAGAGTCCCCTCGCCAGCACCCGCAGCCAGAGGTCTGCCCTACTGCCCCCAGAGGCACCTGAGGGAGGGCGCAGTCTTCTGGCAAAAGTCCTGGGTTTCATCGCCACCCCCTTCATCAAGCTCTTCCAGTTAATTTATTACCTTGTGATTGAAGTCCTGAAGAACATCCTCTATCTCCTGTGGTTTGTGGCCAAGCAGGTGATAAGTGGCATCGAGAACTGCCTTTACCGCATGGGCACCGCAGCCTTCTCATATCTCATGGCCATTGGGGAAGAGCTGGTGGGCATACCCTGGAAGGTGCTCAAGGTGGTGGCCAAAATCATCAGGGCCGTTCTCCGGATCCTCTGTTGTCTGCTGAAGGCTGTCTGCCGGGTTCTGAGCATCCCTCTCCGAGTCCTTGTGGATGTAGCCATGTTCCCTGTGCACACAGTGGGCACGGTCCCCTTTGTGTGCAGGGACATTGCCCTGGGCCTGGGTGGCACGCTCTCTCTCCTTTTTGACACAGCTTTTGGCACTGTGGGTAGCCTGTTTCAGATTTTTTTTAGTGTCCTCAAGAGGATTGGCTACAAGGTTACTTTTGACAATTCTGGGGAGGTATAGAATTTAAAAACCTCATAGTATCCAGCCATAGTGAATTTGGTTGTTTATTTAATATGAGAAAGATGGACTATTCGGTCTTAAACATGGGTTCCTATTCACTGTCAGTGGCCATGCTATGCTGGTCTTTGGTGGAAGTGTATGCCTGTTCCTGCAAAGGATGATGGCACAATTTAGACTTGACCCAAGAGAAATACTCAGGGTAGGCTTGGGCACCGTGAGCCACAGTGCACCTGCAGTAATGTGTGCAGGCTTCCATGCCTCTGGTAACTTTAGAAATTCACCTGGACTCACTATGAAACACCTGGAGCGTCCTGTGTATCGTGAAAATTAGAAATCATAAGGCAGAGAGTCGGGGGAAAAGGAGTCAAGGCCTCAGCAAACCAGACCTGAATATCGCTGCTCAATTTCTTAGCATTTGTTTCTCTATTTCCCCAGCCCAGCTGATCTAGTCTGACCTATTCTGTTGAACCAGCTCTCTTGATACAGAATCTGCTACAGTTCTGAGCTTTCTGTGGGTCTCAAGGACATGTTTGGTTGTCATTCTTCCAAAATTGAATTTTGCTGCATTTTTCTTTTGGGTCACAGCAAGTATTTTATGCTGGACATGGCATAACAAAGTATGAATGGAACCCCGATTGGACCCTGAATCCAGTTCTCCCAGGTGTAAAGAAGATCACATAAAAGCAACAGCATTAAGTAGGTGCCGTGTGTCCAAGGGCATCGGTAGGGAGGCGTTGATTGACATTAAATCACTGGTTGACAACACTGAATGCAAAGATCTGCATGTTAAGCTGATATGAAACCTCATATTCTCTAACACTAGATCTTTCTAATGTACCATGTGAATACTCAATTCAGTAAAGCTGTCTGACTTCTCTCCTTAAATGATTATTTTGACATAACTATCTAGATAACAGACGAAATTTAAAAAAATCTTTGGCTGTCTTGGGAAGAAATGTATGTATATAAATATTTAAGAATCATTATCTCTTAGGAAATATTTTTATAGTGTACTTGAGGCTAGAAAATATAACTTCTCCATTAATGCAGGTTAAAATTTAAGAGCTTATTCCCAATTTCGATCAGGTACTTGTAATTTTAAATCTTGCACTAAGAATTATAACAAGAGGAACCCAGCTCACTTCACTGTGAGAATGCAATTGTCTGGGTCTTGTCTGGGTTTTCTGAAGAGTTGCTTCAAGTACAAAAGGGGAAGTGCGAACTTATCTTGCAGATGTAGCCCAGAATTCACTGGAAAGTTAGCTGTAAAAAATAAGAGTCTAAAAAAATAAATAAGAGTCTAGAAAGACAACAAAGAGGACAGCGCATAAGTAGATGAGAAAGTCTGTTACGTTTTGCAGAAAGAGTTGAATTGCACCAGAGTCGACCTGTAGCCCCCAAGCTGCCGTTCCAGCCACTTTGCAATGCGAGGCATGGCGTGGCAATGCCAGACTGGCCCATGCTCAGGGAAATGTGCAAGGCTCATTGAGAATCCTAAGCAGTATCTACCACGGCCTTAACTTGGGAAGTATGAGGGCCTGCCTGCCTTGCACCCATGGGCCAAGAATCCTTCTGCTTGAGGCAACGAGAGATGGTCTGGTCAAACCCTCACTTGATCAGGAACTGGAGGTACAATGGGCAGAAGCTTGTCCTCTGTTACAGGGCTAGCTGGAAGCAGGTCAGGAGTCAAGGCCACCCCATCACACTCCCAGCGCTAGGTGTGCAAGTGTGTACAGCTGCTCAACTGCCTCGCTGGTGTAAGCAGGATCTTCTCCTCTACCAAACATTTTAGGCGTTGGATCAGCAGCTGATGAAATGATAAACATCCACAAAACACTGTGCTTACTGCATTCATGTGACCCGTTTTCCCTCACAGAACATAAATGCATTCTGAGAGGGCATAGGAGGGTGTCCATGGAGACCCAGCCTCAGGAGGGACGGGGCATCTGAACCTTCTCCTGAGAATCTTGAAAACGTATTCTTTCTCAAAGTCATTGGTTTAGTGTCTGTTTATTCTTGGGTGGCCTTTTTCCAAATATGGGAAGGGATAAGCCAGAAAAGGCTTCCTTCAGGTCAGGGGGCTGAGGCTCTTCACTCCGGAGTCTCGTGTTGGCTGAGGTTCACGGGAGCCAGCTGCACTGGCTTTCAAGTCCCACCAGGTCCCTGGGCTGCTGCCCTATTCCTAACAGGCTCCAAGGTGGGAGTTTGGGTTGCCGAACCCCACTGTCGGCTTGGAGATTTTGCTGTGGCTCTGTTGTGTTCTCAGCCCCTTGGGGAAGCCAGCCAGTGCTTTGTCAGATACAAAGATGGCATTCTAGCCTGAGTGGGCCACGCCTTTAGATGCCCTCTTCCCCTGTGCTGTTTCATCTACACACAAACTGGGAGCAGGAGAAGGAGCCAAAACGAAGCATTCCTCATTCTCAGTCATTCATCTATCTCAAAAACATGTAACTGGCCATCGAGGTTGCAGAGTTGGGTGCTGTCTTTAAGGAGTTCCCAGTGTGATGGGATGAACACAAAGTGTGACAAGTGTGACCCATGCTGTAACATGTCATAGCAAGCACCACTGAAGGTACTTGCGGCCTGCTTCCTGCAGCCCTGGAGGAAAACCCACAGGATCAGGGAAATGAAGGAAGCCTTTAGAGGCTGAGACACAACTACTTTCACCTTGTCAAGCCATGTACAATGCTGTGCACCATGCTCAATAAAGTCACTATCGACAATGCATAGTTCTGCAAGATGTCTAAGAGGGGCTGGGATGGTTGGGATGAGGTTTGGGGTTATCTGTGGCTATTTCCCCTTCATTTTCCTCCCTGGAGACAAAGTCCAGGGCCTTGTTAATGCCAGGAAAGTACTCCACTGCTATGTTACAGCCCCAGGCCGTCACTTTCTTTCTCTCTCTCCTCTCTCTCTCTCTCTCTCTCTCTCTCTCTCTCTCTCTCTCTCTCTCTCTGGTATGCATGTATGTATGTGCACACGTGGGCATGTGTGGAGGCCAGAGGTTGATGTCAGGTACCTTCTGTGTCTTTCCTCCTCTCAGTTTTTTGAGACAGACTCTCTCACTGAACCCGGCATTCACCGAACTGAACTAGAGTTAGACTGACCAGTGAGCTCTGGGATTCTGTTTGTCTCCACCCCCAGTTCTGAGGTTGCAGATGCACATGGACCATTTCTGGCTTTTGGGTGCTAGAGACCTGAACTCAGGACCTTACCCACTGAGCCATCTCTCCAGCCCCTTTATCTTTGACTTGAATTAATTCATGATTTTATTCATTAAAATGTTTTGAGTTATATATGAGAATTCAGAAATTTGGATTAGTGAAGTGGGCTTATAACTACCCTTTAATTTTATTTATGTCCTTCATAAATAAGTACCAAATGCTTATTGTTTTGCTGAATCTGAATTACATAGAAAATTATAGAAATGCTTATTTGTTTATTCGTCTGGAAATTCCCACAGTATGAGAAAAGGCTGGGTGGCCGTCTGTGGCCTGAGTGGTTGCCCCACCCCCAGGTGGTCCTCTGTGGCCTGAGTGGTTGCCCCACCCCCAGGTGGTCCTCTGTGGCCTGAGCGGGTGCCTCCAGGGTGGATAGCATCTTCCACGTGTGTCCTGTGCAGAGCGCCTTGTCTAAGGTCACCACAGCACATGTGTTTCACCCCGTATTGCACTATAGGCAATCTAGTGGGGCTGCTTGCCTTTGAGTTCTTACTGGCTCTGTTGCTGTTTTCCCCAGATCATGATTTGATTTCTAACAGACATTGCAAACCAATCTGAAGCTTTACTACCAACAAATCACTCACGACCACTTGTGTCGCTCCTGGGTTTCAATGTGTAGACATCTGTTGGTGAGCTGCTCCCCAGAGGTGAGGCATGTCACTCCTGAGATGAGAGCTCACACCCTGTAGTAGAGATGGCAAAGTCCTGGCTTGCTCACTTGGACAACTTACGTCTGCGTCATCATCTAAAAGGGCTGTGTGTGCGCTCACCTGGCAGGTCACTGTGAACACTGAACGAGGTCAGGAGTGCAATGCACACTCCTCGGCAGATGTTGACTGTACTGCTGTTGTACCCACACGGCTTGGGTGAACTTGGCTGGTAGTTGCCATAAACATCATGGTGTTTTCAGATAGAAGCTGTGAGGACCAGGATCAAAGTATGGTACCAGAGTCAAGGTCGTGAATGAAACTGAAGGTCAGTGAGTCTCATCAGTGTTGTTCATGAATCCCAAAGACATGGAGGTCTAGAAAAGAGAGTATCAGAAACCGGCGTCTGCACAGTGTTTAAGAAGGGAGACACGGGCGTTTCTGGGCACTGGATCCCGCAGGCGTCCCTTCCAGGCCTCCGTCTCAGGAGTCTGCTCTTCTGTAGTTCATTTGGCTTCCCAGGAACTCGCTTGCTTGAAAGAGGCAACAACCCAGACACACTTTTAGCTGCTAAGAGGAGTGGTGGGCCTCACTGCAACAGCCCTTGTTTATTCTTTAGTCCCTTAGTTAAGGCATTATGAATTCATCCCTAAAAGACTGACTGGCCTGGCAAAATGATAAGAATTTCTGGGCCTCCCTGGCTGACCCCTGGGACCTGTACCAGGATGATGGCTCACTTTCCACCTAACTTACACTCACTAGGGGTGCTCTCCCAGAGGCCTTTCCTTTCTCTCAGTACCGTCCTTGGACTGCCCCATCCCACCCGCAGCACCCACATCTGAAGCAGATGCTGCTGACACAATGTCTGGACTTTGGAGGTTCAAGCAGGATATAAAATGGGAACTCTAAATTGCATTATCATATATTGTCTTTTTATAAAGAAGGATTTGTGCTGATCAGATGACCCAGAGAAAATTATGACAAGAAAGGAGGAGCCGCCTGTTCTCGTCTCCTGAGTTGGTCTGCTTCATGGGTTAGCCCGGGACATGGAAGAGCCACCCAGCAGACTCTCATGGGTTAGCCTGGGACACGGAAGAGCCACCCCAGCAGACTCTCATGGGTTAGCCTGGGACACATATGCAGAGCCACCCAGCAGACTCATGGGTTAGCCTGGGACACACATGAAAAGCCCCCCCAGCAAACTCATGGCTTAACCTGGGACACACATGGAGAGCCACACAGCAGACTCTCATGGGTTAGCCCAGGACACGGAAGAGCCACCCTGGCAGACCCTCGCAGGTCGTGGGCTTAGCTCCTGAGCCCCATTCCCATTTCCACTCTCCCAGCTTTGATAGCCACCTCCTGCTTCTACTCCAAGTGACACGTGTGTACAGGTGACTTTGGGGCTTCTCTGCCTGATCCTCAGGACTAGCCTTGTCTCTTGATGTAGCTTCTCCCTGTTCCTGCAAGATGACCTCTGCAACCCAGAGCTGCTTTTCCTATAGCAAGCTGTTGAGTTAGCCCCAGCCATGAGGGGGTCTCACCCTCATGGGCTATTTATTTATTTATTTATTATTTATTTGTCTTTTTGAGACAGGGTCTCCCTGTAGTCCAAGCTGGCTTGGTACTTGGAATGTAGACCAGGATGGCCTTGAACTCACAAAGACTGGCCTGCCTCTGCCTCCCAAGTGCTGGGATTAGAGGCATGTGCCACCACACTCGGCTCATGGGCTCTTTAAACACAACCAGAAGGTTCTGAGCAAGGGTAGAAGATTCTGAGGGTAACACAACTTTAGCCTGTTCAAGCCACCAAAAGTTAAACTTACATGATTTTGAAAGCACAGAGAAATGGGGGCTGGAAGTGGGAAAGCATTTGCCTAGCATGTGTGAGGCCCTTGGTTTGATCCCAACACAATTCATGTCCATTGAAAAGGACTTTGAGAATAAATTAATTTGATGGGTATAGGAGTGGAGTGATGCCTGAAGAAGTCACAAATCAGCTTTCACTAATTCCCCTGCTTCAGTAAGACCTTCCTAACTATATGCACGTTTTGGACACCCCTTGCCCATCTGCAAACATGTATTGGCTTCATTATCATCTGAAGTTAACAGTCTCATCCATATGGGGCCCTAGAAGCTGGGCTTGGTAGCACACATCTACAACCACAGTACTTGGGAGGTAAAGAGAGGAAGAAAAGAGGTTCAAGGCCAGCCTCAGTTATATAGCAAGATGGAGATCAGCAGTGTGCTACATGTGACCCTGTCTCAAAACTAAGCAACACCCCCCCACAAACACAAACACAAGCACACCCCACTCGGGCCCCTGGAGTTTGCTTAACCTACCAAGATTTACCTGATCTTGCAAACACTGATAGTCTTTTAGAGTGTCGACAGGTCCACCGGGAGACACCCAGCCTCTGACAGCAGGAGTCCAGGGTTTGAATCTGTTACTCAGGAAGACAGTGTACTGACTAAGATGGCCAGTATTTAGTTGTTTTTTTTAAAGACTTACAAAGAGAAGTTCTACCCAGTGACTATACTGACCATTCCTAATTCTAGTTCAAAACATAGCTATCTGGACCACCCTGAAGACTCAGCGTTATAAAAGACATCATGTCCAACAAAAGCTTCCAGGATTCCTGAAGTCTTTGGGAGGGAAAAGAACCTCAAGACCAATGTCTACGTGTATTGTGTTCTACAGTGCTTGCATAGGGAGCCATGGCGTGGAGTTTGGGTCTTGGTCTGCCTGGTGGTTTTTAAGTCATCTTGGATTCTGGACCAGTCTTAGTTGGTAGTCTCCAACCATGCCTGGCTCCACATAAAGTTTCATAAGAATCAAATGAGACCATCTGCTTTATAAACAATGAAATGCCACAGAAATATAAAAGCCCATGTTATAGAGTGCTCTAGAGTTGGTCTTATTTAAAAATGATGCATGGTTCATTTGTCATAAGAATGAAAAAAACAAACCTATTTAAGGGCTGGTAAGATGGCTCAGTGGGTAGAGGCACCTATCACCAAGCCTGACAACCTTATTGACCCCCAGGACCCACATGATAGAAGGACAGAACCGATTACTGCAGTTGTCTTTGGACCTTCACTTACACTGCAGCACAAATCCGCACACGATAGACACAAAATAAACAAATACATAGATAAAGGTTAAAAATAATTCAAAAATGCATATGAGCTACTTAGGCCAACATAGGTTAACAAATGAGTAACAACTAACAAGGCTCTCAGAACTTTTCCTCTCATCCACCTTTAAATTCTTTCTTTTTAAAACTACATTTATTTATTTTGTTCGTGTGTGTGGTTGTGTGTGTGTGTGTGTGAGGGGGTGCTCTAGTGCCACAGCCCCCTCGTGAAGGATTCAGTTGTCTCCTACTGTGTAGGTGTTGAGAATTGAACTCAGGTCATCAGTCAGGCCTGGCAGCGAATACCGTTACCCGCTGAACCATCTAATCAGCCCTACATCCTTCTTTCTTAAAACTCAGTGCATTCCCTCTGCAGGCCCATTTGCTTTTCTCTGGGAGTCAGCTGCATCCTTGGGCTAGCAGATGACGTGAAAGACACCACGAGTCACTTAATAACAAGAGCTACACAGGAAAACAAGTGCCAGAGAGTGAGAAGCCACCCCAGCCCTGGCAGCCTGCAAACCGCAGATGTGCACGCGTAGGCACGCATCTCCTGCACTTCTAAGCTGGCTGCTCCTCTGGGAGCAGCTCCCCACACCACTACCTCGTATTCCAACTCTAGGCATAAGATACACAGAGATCTGTAGACAGTTTCCAGCAGAAAAGGAGTTGAAAAGCCGAGAGAAGAAAACCACAGACACTCGGTGGCTGTGTGTGTATGTGT